TTGAAATTCGCATCCCCCCTGTGAACCAAGGGCGTTCATGGCAATGTCTCGTAGTCGTTAACGTGTCGTGGCTATAGTTGCATTACCATAACCAGAGGTTGAGTCCTGCTTGGAATATGATGAGATTCAGGCGAGGCCGAAACTGCAGACCAGTCTGGATGATAATACCTTTTAAGAAATAAAGTCTATGCGAAATTCAATGGAAACTTAAAGCCTACTCATGTCATTGTGGGAAAATTCAACTTACAGTACACTTAGAACTTTAAATGAAATAGGGTGAATACATCTTAAAAATAATAGGCAAACTAAATACTTGAGGAAAAAACAAGTCGCCGGTAAAGATTAGTGAAAAGAAATTAGTTGGTGGACGATAAATACAAGTGATTAATATTGCTAATTAAATGACTCACATATTAACCCGCATGAAAATGAATTCGTGAGAGAGGGAATATCTTCGGTATTATTCGAGGTGCACCTGGTTGACTGTTCCGAACAAACTACTTCTACCCGTTGAGGCTGAATTGGACCATTGGATATTTTAATGGCACTACCACCGTCAACATTATTATCGCTGCTACTAACAGCAATAATAGGAATTGAATTCCTCCCAGCTGGTTCAGAACTCGGCCTCCCAGACAAAGAGTGAAGACCTTCGATCATCTGCGAAACCCCATGTACTCGGAGTGCGGACGGACTGACCGGTTGGGTGGTAGTCGAAGACGGAGGAAATACTGATGATAATGCAGCAGGTAATCCGCAACTATAACCTACAGAGAATTGATTGGTTCCCGTGGTAAGTGGCATCATGGCTGCGGATGAGGGCCCGAGGCCCGATGACGGCATGCAGACGGCACGGATTCGCTCAACAGCCTCCAGCTCAAGTAGACGTCGCCGAAGTCTCGTGTGGAAGAATTTCCGCGCCTGGCTCCAGGCGACGAGACCATGCACAAGACGCCGGGAAGAAAGTCGACCTGGAGTGTCGTGTAGGTCAGCAAATGTTCGGGCTACCTGAATTTGCAAAAAGAAAAATGTATGGAGGATAAAAAGGAGCAATAAAATTCATAGAAGAGTAACTAATAAGTATAAGAGCCGTAGAAATGAAGATCTATCAAGCGTAAAATTTAAGAATCAAATCAACAAATTACCTGAATGTAGGTGGGGAGAAGGTCTTTTTGTCTGAGATCTATTGCTGCCTTTATTTTCTTTATTTCCTCTTCGGTATCAAGTCCAGAGCCAGATAGACCATTGAAAACAGGCATGTCTGCTACGGACTTAAAGCTGGCAGCACTAGACAGACCGATAGCTGAAGTATCTGGAACAGTAGATATTGAGGTCGCTGAGATAGCCGAGGTTGCCAATTTAGCACTTGTAGTCAAATGACAGGCAGCAGAATTCGCCTGAGGTCTGGTGTTAGCAGCTCCAGTAGCGGTTGTGTTTGCAACGTTAGCAGCAGAAACATGTCGTTTGAGGTCATTTAGTCGAGCGGACAGCTGAATTAGCCTATCATCTAGCCGATGCATAGTTTTGATGAGCTCCGGGGTGCGGTATTTTATTTCTACAGTACCCTCTGGTTCGAGGACGCCACCGCGACAGGTGCTCGGATCACAGAACATCTCCATCCTGTCCGGATTGATGGCAGGATCGACAACAACCCACGCACCTCCACGTAATTCAGCGTGTGGCGGAAGGTAGATGAAGACAGGCTTGGGATAGCTACAAAGAGCATCCACAATCATAGCTCCGAATTTTAATACCTTGAAATTGTTGATAAATGGAGTGGAGATTGGCACAAGTTAT